AAGTTAATGAACTGATATATCCTCAGGATCAATCGAACTACTGAGAGTATTTCAGCAAAAACAGAAGAGTGATATGTGTTACAGAAATTACTGAATTTCTGCTGAAATTCAGTTGAATTGAAATAAAACAAACTTGTTGCTGAAAACAATCTTGCCATTTAGGGCTCAGTTTTGCATTATTTGTGGACCCCAAACTCTCATTGGATCAAATTTTGCTTTCAGTTACACCAACATCAAATTTAGTAATTCATTTTTGAATGAGAAAATAACCAAGAGTAGGTTCACCCGTCTATCAGAAGTCCTTATTAAGAGAAATTGTACAGTATAATTTAAAACCCTCCACTCAAACTGAGCACTTAAACATTAACAGGAGTATAGAAATAGTATATCCTTTAGTGTTGATTTGTTATAGAAGTGAGATATTTATTTTGTTGTATTTTCTCTTCCCTGTGCATTTTTATTGCTTTTGACATTGTTTATGGGCATACTGAGATTTTAAAAAACAAAACAAAACAGGCATTGAACACATCAGATCAACTAGACCCATTGTACCTAACAGATGGCTGTAACTGCCTAGGCAGTCATGAACTGAATTCCAAGTTCACTGCTAGACTTTAGTAACAATCAGTCCTCTTAATTTTATGACGCCAGGCACTGATCCAAAATGAATTACATCTCTTTGGATTGGCTGGAGCTTCTAGCAGGACTAAGCTAGTTTCTCTGTACCTTTGTTGCCTAATGTTTTTCTGTTCAAGGACGTGGGTAATATACAGCTGTGCCAAAGGAGCTGAAGATGTAACCTTGGAGTGCATACTTTAGAGTTCATTTGTAAAGTCAGCCTGCCTATGACAGCTGGGACAGCTTAACTTTCAACTATTAGAGTGTTTCAGTTCTGATCTGCAAATAAAGGTTGTGGATAAATTATTTTTAAACAATTTAGCAGCCTGTTCTATATTATCTCATCAGAGTGGGCAGATGGATAGTAAGAAGCTCTGTCCTCTAAATTACATAACAACTGATATTCTAGAAAACAGCAGATATGTTGCTTATGTGCAAAGGCTGGTGCAAATCTTTCAAAGGGGAAAAGCAATGCATGAAGAGGGATGCTGCTTACCGAAGGGCCTGATCCTATGAAAGGTGCTGAGCACTCTCAACTCCCATTGAAGTCAGTAGGAGTTCAGGATGAGCAACACTTTTCAGGATTAGGCCCCACAAGAGCAAGTTGTATTTATACTTCTGTATGTTTCACTCTCTCACCACGCTCCAAGCGTTAGACAGTAGGCAGATGTCACCACCACCACTTAGTGGTATGACGACCATGGGAATAATTTAGAGATGCAGACAGTTGGTCATGATAGCCACAGAATATGTAACATTTATTAACACCGTTAACTAGACTTGTTCTTATGAACTGAAAACAGTATTCCTAGTCTGTGCTGATTATAAATTATGCTTTGGTTTCATTCTTACACAGGTGAATGGTGTCCTTTTCCTAAAGAGCAGTCTCCAAAGTCTAAGTGTGGTTTTACTTAAAAGAGTGACTATTTTAAAATGATGTCATCTTATTCAACAGATTTGCCCCCGATGTATTCAGAATCATGACTCTGCTTATTGTAGATGACAAAAATAATGTTTTTAGTACTTTTTAGTCTTAATAGTATAGCAGATCCTACACAGCTATGATTTTACACATCCTTATGCATCTTTAACAGAATTGTTAGTAAGCAGATAAATTCCCATTGTATTGCCAATCTGCTGTACCATTCTCTCACATGGCAAAAGTGTAACCAAAGGTATAATATGAAGACAATGAGTGTGGCACAGGTATGACAGAGAAGAGATTCTCCAGGCTAAATTCTACTACTGGTGATTGTGTGGGAGAAGGAAATAATCTATCTTGACTTTCATAGCCCAGGATGAGTTTGGAGGGCAAACAATTAGGAAAATATCCCTTTACTTGTATGCTGAGCAAATTGGATATAGAATTCATTGAGACAACAAACCTGGAAACTAATATGCCATTTTTACAATCACCTTTCCGAGCTAACCCGATTTGAAGCAACTGTTCTGATGTTCAGAACAATCAGACCCTTATATTGAAGGAAACCCAGCTATCATGAAACCTGGAGGAGCAGGTTTCACTGGAATTTCTCTCTTTGGATTGGTTCTAAAACTTCACTGACACAAAAACTGACTGTCCCCAGTCAAATCAATCCTTGAAAGAAATGGCCATCAATGTCCAGGAGCTGAAAACTATTGAAGGCAGCTGTTTGCTAAAATCCCCTGGATTTCCCTGGTCCCTAGATTTATCTGTTATGGCTCTTTGCTCTTAGTTTTTCTTCAAATTCACTTGATATTCTGAATGTACAGTCACACTAAAACTGGCTGCCAGCCTCTTTGCCAGCCTGCAAATCTTCAGCGGCGAGCAGGAATTACCCTGGGAGACCTCCAGCAGTTTAAATCCCACTTGGTAGTATGAAAGCAGTAGTTACGGTGCGTTTGGATTATCATGCAGCAGGGTCCATTCGATCACGCAGCAAAGGAAAGGATTTCTGAGCTCATCCCTTGACAGCATTGCAGGTAGTCGCGCATAGTGAGGACACAGCAATAAATAGAAACACAGCAGCTTGGCTGGTTGTACAACAAAACTGTCTTATTGCTGTTCAGGGAACAACTCTTCGTGACCTCTTCCCAACCTCCTGAGCAGTCTGTCTCATAAGCAACAGCCTCTCTGTAGGCAGGCGCGGCACGCTGATGCGATGCAGAGATGCTCCCAGCTAGCTGGTGTGAGGCTTCTCCCCAGTCCACAGGTTGGTGCGCTCCAGTCAATATCTACTCACTCAGGGTATGTCTACACGACGAAACTAGGTTGAATGTATAGAAGTCGATTTTTAGAAAGCGATTTTATACAGTTCCCCACTAAGCGCAGTAAGTCGATGGAGTGCGTCCACAGTACCAAGGCTAGGGTCGACTTTCAGAGCGTTGCACTGTGGGTAGCTTTCCCGCAGTTCCCGCAGTCTCTGCCGCCCATTGGAATTCTGGGTTGAGCTCCCAATGCCTGATGGGGCAAAAACATTGTCGCAGGTGGTTTTGGGTACATGTCGCCAGTCTCCCCTCCCTCCGTGAAAGCAACGGCAGACAATCATTTCACGCCTTTTTTCTGTGCGGGCGCCATACTGCTTTCAGCAGACGGTGCAATAGGACTGCTAATCGTCATCATCGAAACACCGCTTCTGCTGCCACTCTGCTCTCCTGCTCTTGTCTCGATAGCAAATTTCTCCATGTTGTCTCTCATGGGCTCCCGCTTTAACTCTGCTCTCCTGCTCTCATGAATCCACCTTGCAGGTCGTCAGCCACCACTTCCGCTGCCACCCTGCTCTCCTGGTGGTCTCGCAGGGCCGCTTCCGCTGCCGCTCTGCTCAGCTGCTCTTGTCTCACCATAACACGGCAAGCGTGCAGCCCGCTCAGCTGTTGTGTCCTGGCAGCAGATGGTGCAGTAGTTCTGCAAACCATCATCATTGAATGACTGCTTCCGCTGCCACTCTGCTCTCCTGCAGACGCCATACCACGACAAGCATGGAGCCCGCTCAGATCACCGCAGCAGTTATGAGCATTGTAAACACCTCGTGCATTATCATGCAGTATATGCAGAACCAGAACCTGCAAAAGCAGGCGAGGAGGCGATGGAGAGACGAGAGTGATGAGGACATGGACACAGACTTCTCTCAAAGCACGGGCCCCAGCAATTTGGCCATCTTGGTGGCAACGGGGCAGGCTCATGCCGTGGAATGCCAATTCTGGGCCCATGAAACAAGCACAGACTGGTGGGACTGCATAGTGTTGTGGGTCTGGGATGATTCACATGCATAAGGGCACTTTCATGGAACTTTGTGACTTGCTTTCCCCTGCCCTGAAGCGCAAGATGAGAGCAGCTCTCACAGTTCACAAGCGAGTGGCAATAACCCTCTGGAAGCTTGCAACGCCAACAGCTACCGGTCAGTCGGGAATCAATTTGGAGTGGGCAAATCTACTGTGGGGGCTGCTGTGATCCATGCATGCAATCACTGAGCTGTTGCTATCAAGGGTAGTGACTCTGGGAAATGTACAGGTCATAGTGGATGGTTTTGCTGCAATGGGATTCCCTAATTGTGATGGGGCAATAGACGGAATGCATATCCCTATCTTGTGATTGGACCACCAAAGCAGCCAGTACATAAACCGCAAGGGGCACTTTTCAATGGTGTTGCAAGCACTGGTGGATCACAAGGGACGTTTCACCAACATCGACGTGGGATGGCCGGAAAAGGTACATGATGCTCGCATCTTCAGGAACTCTGGACTGCATGAACAGCTGCAGCAAGGGACTTACTTTCCAGACCAGAAAATAACTGTTGGGGATGTTGAAATGCCTGTAGTTATCCTTGGGGACCCAGCTTATCCCTTAATGCCACGGCTCATGAAGCCGTACACAGGCACCCTGGACAGTAGTCAGGAACTGTTCAACCTTAGGCTGAGCAAGTGCAGAATGGTGGTAGAATGTGCATTTGGACGTTTAAAAGTGTGCTGGTGCAGTTTACTGACTCGGTTAGACCTCAGCGAAACCAATATTCCCATTGTTATTAATGCTTGCTGTGTGCTCCACAATATTGTGAGAGTAAGGGAGAAGACGTTTATGGCAAGGTGGAAAGTTGAGGCAAATCCCCTGGCCACTGATTACGTGCAGCCAGACACCAGGGCAGTTAGAAGAGCACACCAGGGCGTGCTGCGCATCAGAGAAGCTTTGAAAACCAGTTTCATGGCTGACCAGGCTGTGGTGTGACAGTACTGTTTGTTTCTCCTTGATGAAGACCCGCCCCCTTGGTTCACTCTACTTCCCTGTAAGCCAACCGCCCTCCCCTCCCGCCTTCGATCACCGCTTGCAGAGGCAATAAAGTCATTGTTGTTTCAAATTCATGCATTCTTTATTAATTCATCACACAAATAGGGGGATAACTGCCAAGGTAGCCTGGGAGGGGTGGGAGAGGAGGAAAGCACCAGGTGGGGTTGGGGAGGAGGGAAGGACAAGGCCACACTGCACTTCAAAACTTATTGAATGACACCCTTCTGTTAGTTGGGCAGTCCTCTGGGGCGGAGTGGCTGGGTGCCCGGAGTGCACCCCCACGTTCTTGGGCGTCTGGGTGAGGAGGCTATGGAACTTGGGGAGGAGGGTGATTGATTACACAGGGGCTGCAGTGGCAGTCTGTGCCTTTCCTGCACCTCAACCATATGCTGGAGCATATCAGTTTGATCCTCCAGTAGCCTCAGCATTGCATCTTGCCTCCTTTCATCATGCTGCCGCCACCTCTCCTGTTGCTCTAGCGATCTGTCCTCACGTTCATTTTGTGCTTTCCTGGACTCTGCCATTGTCTGCCTCCAAACATTCTGCTGGGCTCTTTCAGTTTGCGAGGACTGCATGAGCTCAGAGAACATTTCATCACGAGTGCGTTTTTTTACCTTCTTATCTGCGTTAGCCTCTGGGACGGAGATGCTAGTTGCACCGTTGAAACATTTGCAGCTGTGGGAGGAAAAAAAGGGAGATTAAAATTGAAAAAGACACACTGGCCATTTAAAAGGAGGGGCTGATGTTTTCGGGTTAACGTGCAGCACAAACCCAACTAACCCCCCATACACCCAATTCTCTGGGGCCTGGCGCAGAGTAAGCCGGGGAAATTTTCCCTGTGAGTGCTCCAGCCCCGGAGCACCCATGGAGTCGGTGCCTAAAGCACCACTTTTGATGTCATCAGTGGGTGTGACTGCTGATCCCCCCCCCAGCTATGCTACCCCACCCCTTGGAGCCAGAGGGACCTGCCAGATGCTTCCTGGGAGCTGTCCCAGGTAAGCAATGCCGGGACTCCCCACCTTGCCCCCAGGCAAGGTTCTTAGGGGTGGGGTGGCACCCACTCCTGCCCGGTTCTGGGGGCAGTCAGGGGACTGGGGAGGAGGGTGGATGGGGCAGAGGTTCCGGGGTGGGGGGAGGCAGGCCACAACCCCCTTGTGGGGTGAGGAGGGAACTGGTTGTTAAGATTTTGGCAGCTCATCACTGCGTACAGGGGTGGGGCAGTGGTAGGGGCACCCCCTAGAATTGCATGCAGCTCATCATAGAAGTGGCATGTCTGGGGCTCTGACCCTGAGCAGGCGTTTGCCTCTTGGGTTTTTTGGTAGGCTTGCCTAAGCTCCTTAAGTTTCACATGGCACTGCTGAGGGTCCCTGTGATAGCCTCTGTCCTTCATGCCCTTGGAGATTTTTTCAAATATTTTGGCATTTCGTCGTTTGGAACGGAGTTCTGATAGCATGGATTCATCTCCCCATACAATGATCAGATCTAGTACCTCCCTTTCAGTCCATGCTGGAGCTCTTTTGCGATTCTAGGACTCCATGGTCATCTCTGCTGATGAGATCTGCACGGTCACCTGTGCTGATCAGCTTGCCACGCTGGCCAAACAGGAAATTAAATTCAAAAGTTCATAGGGCTCTTCCTGTCTAACTGCCCAGTACATCCGAGTTCAGAGTACTGTCCAGAGCGGTCACAATGGAGCACTGTGGGATAGCTCCTGGAGGCCAATACAGTCGAATTGCATCCACACTAACCCAAATTCAACCCGGTGATGTTGATTTCAGCGCAAATCCCCTCGTCAGGGAGGAGTACAGAAATCGATTTTAAGAGCCCATTAAGTCAACAAAAATGGCTTTGTTGTGTGGACGGGTGCAGGGTTAAATTGCTATAACACTGCTAAATTTGACCTAAACTCGTAGTGTAGACCAGGGCCAGAAAACAGGAAATGTACCCCAAACTGGAGGTATATTCTATCACAAGACTTTACCAAGCCAGTAACAAATGTGTGCTTCCAAAAATACTATACTATTTATTATGAAGCTACAAACAATCCCCTTCAGGCACTCTAGCCCCTTTATGTACCACCCAGGCAAAGCAGACTTCTGTGATAAATGATTATTAAAACCCAAGAGTCAGATATATTAGGTTCTTCCAGTTCCAAAGAACCAGACACATGCCCCAGGTCAAATACAATTCAGATTGTATTAAAAAATCATGCCAATAGCCAATCCTTTAGTAACTAAGAACAACAGATTTATTAATATAAGAAAAAAGAAGAGAGTTATTAAGAAGTTAAAATGAATCATATACAGTTGATTTCAGAATTTGTAGATCAAGATAATAGCAGTGATATTAAATCTACCAGTCTGTAATAAGTCTCCCTGGGTCACCCAAAAAGATTGGGGGTCATCAGTTCTTTGTTCAAAGCTTCTCTTTGTTAGAAATCATAGTCCAGAGATGTAGAGCAGGAATGAAGATCATGAATGATGTCACAGTCCACAATTTATTGCTCTTATTCCAGGTGCATGAAAAGTTACGGATACAAGCATAGAGTCCTGGGTCACATGTGCCTTGTTGAGTCATTTATTGCCTACCTACTGCCTGAAGAGACCCTGCAGTCCCTGGAAGAACTGATTGTCCTTAATGGGCCATCAAGCAGGCTGGCTAGCCTTGATGTAAATCTGTCTTGGGGGCATAACCCAGAAACACAACAGGTTTGAGCTACAAACACACAGAGTTGAATAACTTCATATATAAGGATGATACATGAAACAGGATAATCATATTACCTTTTCCAATGATACCTTACACAACCTACTTTGTGCAAGATTTATCACAATTGTGCAACAGTGGCAATATATCAGTGATGATACATTAATGTAAACTTGGTCACCTTTCTTTTAGATAATGTCACAATTGTTATGTTCCCACTTACTCAGCAGGCAACTGCTATGTTCTGGCCATTGGCTGACTGCCATCTTCACTCTCACAGCATTAAAGATCAACGAGTCCTGCGAGAGTCCAGAAAGCATGTTAGAAAATTTGCAGTAAGATGACTGGCATCACTCACCAGCTGCATATTTAGGAAGTGACAGCACTTTCTATTACAGTATAGCTTCCTTCTCGCCATGGTGGAGGGGATAGCTATATGAGTGCAATAAGTCACCCTCAAGATATTCAGAGAGCCAGCAATGGGAAAGAACTTTTCCTTTATGCACACTATATGTATTTGGGGCTGGAGGAGAGAAAACATAGCAGTCACAGCATTTGAGCATTGCTGATATAGGTGGCTGACAATTTCTGGCATGGAGTGGGGTCACATCAGCCATAATCCATAAATAGGTGCTCTATGACAGTAACAGAGAGGGCAGATGTTGTCTTTTGCAATCAAATCAGTGCATTCCAATTAATGTTTGGAAACTGGCTCTAGGACATAGCTCAATAGGACATATAGCTCACATATTGCCAGGGCTGGCCTTACCATGAGATGAACTGAAGTGGCCCCCTCAGGTGCCAGACTGGGAGGGTGGGGGGCACCGCTAGGACCCAGAGTGTAGAAAATTGTGTCTGCTGCTGATGCATATGTATTCTCTCTGCTCTAGATGCACAGAGATGGTGGAGTGCTGTGTTGGAGGAAGGAGGGCACAAAAGATATAACAGGCAGGCAGGAGAAAAGGTGAGAGGGAATAACAGAAAGCAGCAGGAGCTGCAGGAAGAGAGAGGAGGAGGAGCCTCTTATGTACCTCTCTAGCACCCCCAGGAACCTGGACTGATTAATACCAGCTTCTCAGGGAGCTTCCTGTTTCCTGCTGCTTCCTTGAACCCACTTGAGGAGAACAGGCAGTCAACTGAAGTAGTAGGAGCCAGTTAGGCCTTTAACATGCTGATATCTTCCCTCACTCAGGCCCTGCTATCAGCCTGCTTATTTGTCCCCTTCAACTGAGTGTGGAGAGCCACTGTAGCTGGCACAGAACAGCAGTCATGAGTGAAAGAAGAAAACGCCCTTCTGGGGCAGCATTCAGAAAAAGAAAGAAAACAAAGGAAGCTTTTCTATCTAAGCAGGAAGGAGCTCTCCTGAGATACATAGACACAAATGTTCATGGTGAGCCTTCCGGCCCCAGTGAGGATGAGAGCGGTGAGGAGATGCCTGACCTTCCAGTTAGTCAGAGTGCACGTGGCCTGGCAGCTACTGCAGCATCCATATCTCCATCTCAAATGGATGTAACCATGCACATTCCTGAAGAAAAGTGTAGATCAGAGAAGAGTGGAGATGCAAGAAACAGCTGCTGCTGAGTGATGATCCAGGACTGTGGACCCACTTGAGCAGTAGCCTGAGGGACTTCCTTGTACTGCATGGGCCACAGCAAGTGAAAAACTTCATGTTCCCCAAAGACAATGAAAATAGAAGTTTCCATCCAACACATTACTGGGGCGAAATCCCCAATGGTGACAAAGTGGAGAGGCCATGGCTTATGTACTCAGAAACCCAGAATGCTGCATACTGTTTTTGTTGCAAACTCTTCCAGTCTAATGTTCCAGCCACATTGGGTTCTACAGGAACAAAGAACTGGAAAAATCTGGCTAGAAATCTGGCATGTCATGAGAAGGCAGCAAATCACCAGAGAGCATTTCATAGGTGGAAAGAGCTTGAGATGAGACTCAGGGTACGTCTACACTACCCAGCGGATCGGCAGGTAGTGATCGCTCTAACGGGGATCGATTTATCGTGTCTAGTGTAGATGCAATAAATCGATCCCCGATCGCTCTGCTGTCAACTCCTGTACTCCACCGCAGCAAGAGGCGGAAGCGGAGTCGACGGGGGAGCAGCGGCAGTCAACCCCGCGCTGTGAGGATGTGAGGTAAGTCGACCTAAGATAGATCGACTTTAGCTACGCTATTCTCGTAGCTGAAGTTGCGTATCTTAGGTCAATCCCCCCCAGTGTAGACCAGGGCTAAGGGTATGTTTACACTATGAAATAAGGTTGATTTTATAGAAGTTGATTTTTCGGAAGCAATTTTATACAGTTGATTGTGCGTGTCCCCACTAAGCACATTAAGTCGGCAGAGTGTGTCCACAGTACTGTGGCTAGCGTCAACTTTCGAAGCCGTGCACTGTGGGTAGCTATCTCACAGTCTCTGCTGCCCATTGGAATTCTGGGTTGAGCTCCCAATGCCTTATGGGGCAAAAAGATTGTCGCGGGTGATTTTGGGTACATGTCGTCAGTTGCCCCTCCCTCCCTCTGTGAAAGCAACGGCAGGCAATCGTTTCACAGCTTTTTCCCTGGGTTAACCGCACAGACGCCATAGCACTGCTAGCCGTCCTCATCAATGGCGTTTTGCTCGCTCCACTGCTTCCGCTGCAACTCTGCTATCCTGATCTCCTGCGAGCTGGAGGCTTCTGCCTCAGGCTGCTCTCCCAGCCGGCAGCACCACACGGTGGCACCTACCCCAGCCTACCGCTTGCTCCCATGGTTCATGAAGCCTGGACAATAGTAAGGAGCAGTTCAACTATAGTCTGAGCAAGTGCAAAACGGTGGCAGAATGTGCCAAACACACGATTGTGACGTGACGATTCAGGTAGACCTATTGCAAATGCTCAACATGACTCTCTCCCTTGCTCCTCCACTGAACCTGAGTTCACACTGCAAAACATACAGTCAAGTCAACAAGGTAAACTAATT